TGTTTCGATTGGCCTTAGCCTTTATTCTTTCTGAACAGTGTTGATTTTCTAATTGGTTACTACCTGCTTCCAGATTTATGTTGTAATTTTGTATCTGTAGGTTATCTCTTTGATTTGTTACCTGATGGAAACAAAAAACGATAGAGGACCATTTTTAGTTGTTGTGCCATCTTCAGTTCTGCCTGGATGGGAAACGGAAATCAATTTCTGGGCCCCTGGAATACATAAAATTGTCTACGCAGGGCCTCCAGAAGAGAGGCGTAGGTTATTCAAGTAATGACACATAGAACTGAAAAGAAAACACCCAATAGTTTACTCTTTGATACTGAAATATATTTCTTGCCTTCATGAACCCTTTCTCTTGCAGGGAAAGAATTGTACATCAGAAATTCAACATCCTCCTGACAACATATGAGTATCTGATGAACAAGCATGACAGACCAAAACTGAGCAAAATACACTGGCATTATATTATAATTGATGAAGGTCATCGCATAAAGAATGCTTCATGCAAGTTGAATGCTGAATTGAAGCACTATCAGAGTTCTCACAGATTGCTGTTGACTGGAACTCCACTACAGGTCACATACACTTTTCTAATTTTCTTTCTTTTTTTTTTTTTTTTGTGTTCTTTTTTGTTTCTTGTTGAACATTGGTAGTACAAACATAAATTAACTTCCTTGTAAGTGGTGTAATTGTAATATCTGCTTTCTTATTTGTTAATTTTTGTTGTTCATGCAATATAATGAATTGTTTTCATCATTCCTTCTATGTAGAACAATCTCGAGGAGTTGTGGGCACTACTTAACTTTTTGTTGCCTAATATATTTAATTCATCAGAAGATTTTTCTCAGTGGTTCAACAAACCATTTGAGAGTGGTGGAGATAATTCTGCTGATGAGGTATGCTCTGAAGTCTGAACTTGTCTTGCTATGAAGATATGGATATTATGTACTATGTTAATATCTACAACTCTTGTGAGTAGGCCTTATTGTCCGAGGAGGAGAATCTGTTAATCATAAACCGCCTGCATCAGGTTCTTCGACCATTTGTACTTCGGAGGCTAAAGCACAAGGTTTGTTAAGAATCTAAAGATGCTTTTAGTTTCTTGCCAGTATAATGGCAATTCATTGTTGTATACTAAAATTGGTTTTGTATGGCATAGTTTTATCTATCTCATTGACACTAATACCCAAAATATGATCTTAGCAAATACCTAAAGTGCCATAATTTTCTGAGATACATTCTTTCTGAAATATATTAGACTCTGAAACATATTCTAGTATATTATTTTTGGTTTCACTTTGATTCTTTTTGCTAGGTTGAAAATGAACTTCCTGAGAAGATTGAGAGGCTAATAAGATGTGAGGCTTCTGCATATCAGAAGCTATTGATGAAGAGGGTTGAAGAAAATCTTGGTTCTATTGGAAATACAAAGGTTTAGTAGATTTTATTCTCATTTACTGACCTGCAATATAATATTATTGTTTAAGACAATCACCATTATGAAGACTTATTTCTTTTTTTTCAGGTTCGATCAGTGCATAACTCTGTGATGGAGCTTCGTAACATATGTAATCATCCATATCTAAGCCAGCTTCATGCAGAGCAGGCATGCCCTTTTCTTTTTTACTTTTGCTTGCTTTGATTTGATTTTTCATGATGTTTCGATGAAGAAGAAATACATGATTGTTGCTTTTCATTTTTACTCACATATCTTCGTTACATTGTGGCTATGAACAAAGGATAATGACATTGGTTACCTACTTGGTATCGACTGGCATTTATTTTCTCTTTCAACTACACACCTAATACCGCGATCACCCTTTTAGGTGGATAATTTGGTACCAAAACATTATCTGCCACCAATTGTTAGACTCTGTGGAAAGCTTGAGATGTTGGATCGACTACTGCCCAAGCTGAAGGTGACAGACCATCGGGTATGAAATTAGTCAATTACTTGTTATTCTTTGGGCAATATCAATATCTTATGCATGTGAGAATCACTGATCTTCAATAGGTTGGATTGTGGTAATTGTAGAGAGGTTATATATTGTTTTGGTAATATTGCTGCCTGCTGTGGGATTTAGTTTATACTTAGATATGTCAATGAGGCATCTTTTGTTTTTTTTTATTGTTCGTGTGCAATAGGGATCATGGTATTGTTATTTTTTAGTGGCATTTTATTGTTCTGTACTTATTTATTCCTACAATGATGATTCCTGTATTAATGTCCCAACTCCCAACATTATGTGCTTAAAGATTGTGGTAGTGGTCTATTATATCTAAAGCATTCTTAGCATGATTGCTTCCACTTATCCATACATCAGTCATTGTTTGTGATTTGATTTTTATACTGTATTTTTTTTCTGCTTTCTGGAATTATATGAAAAATAAATCCTTAGAAGAGTTGTTTTAGAGTTTAGACTTTGGAATTAAATTTACTGTTTTTTTTTCCCCCAACAATTACGGTCTTACAGATTTTGTTCTTTCAAGTTAGAAGCATACTTAACATGATTGTTTTCCCTTATCCATTCTGCAGAGTGCAGCCCCTTTTTTAATTCTCTTTTACATTGTAATATTTACGAGTCATTCTGGAATTGAATGAAAATAGAGTTCTCAGAATACTTATATTTAATGTTGAAATTTCAGGTTCTTTTCTTTTCCACAATGACTAGGCTGCTTGACATTATGGAGGAGTATCTTGTCATGAAACAGTATCGCTACCTTCGGTTGGATGGACATACATCTGGGAATGAACGTGGTGCTCTTATTGAAAAGTTTAACGAACCAAATTCTCCTTATTTCATATTTTTGCTCAGGTATTTTTGTGTTACCAATGTGATAATAACTCTCACTTGCCTTCTAGTTTTTTTCAAGAAAGTTAGGAGGATGAAGGTGGGGATTAGAACATGCTGGGGAGGATGAACTTAAATTAAGTGGAACTTTGGATATTGGATATAAGATGTTCTCTGGGGATCCTTTTGAGTTAAAAATGATTTATTATTATCTTCTGAAAAAACATTTGCAATGTTTGAAGAAATATAGCCCTTCCACTCCAAATAGATCTTCTACTTTGTGGGTTGGAATTTGAAGTGTTTTACCTTGAATTCTCTCAAAAAATGTATGATAAGATTCTGGGTGCTTTCCTAGCATCAACTAGTCTGCTACTACTGCTAGTTAGTAAAAAGTCCTTTGTTATGAGTATGAGATGTCTTTTTAATATGGACATTGATTTCAGCATTCGGGCTGGTGGTGTTGGAGTCAATCTTCAAGCAGCTGATACTGTGATCATATTTGACACAGACTGGAATCCTCAGGTCATGAGTTACCTTTACCTGATGGTCCTGATCAACATGTCATTTTAATTTTATATTCTAAATCTGATTTCATATTGTTTGGTGGATAATCATCAGGTTGATCTGCAAGCACAAGCAAGGGCTCATAGGATTGGCCAGAAGAAAGACGTGCTTGTTCTACGGTTTGAAACAGTAAGTTCCAATTTACTTTTTTAATTTTTAGGACAGGTGGAGTTTGGTTTCTGAAGTTGATGTATGTGATCCTTAATAGAAATAATATATACCCCTTTGTTTGTTTTGTCATTGTTTAAGGTTTAAATTTCTAGTGGAAGAGGTTGTATGCCTTAATTTACTTCTTCTTCTTCTTTCTCCCTTTTTTTTTTTTTTTCGGTTTCAATAAGGTCCAAAGTGTTGAAGAACAAGTAAGAGCGTCTGCTGAACATAAACTGGGGGTTGCTAATCAAAGCATTACTGCTGGTTTCTTCGACAATAATACAAGGTAAATCAGTATGTTTGCATAGGGCTAGAAGTAGTTTCAACTTTCAACTTTCATTTTTTTTTATTTTGATTCATGTTCTCAAGGAAATTTCTGTAATTGTGTCTACAGTGCTGAAGATCGCAGAGAGTACTTGGAGTCACTCTTGCGGGAGTGTAAGAAAGAGGAAGCTGCCCCAGTATTAGATGATGATGCTCTAAATGAACGCTTAGCTCGTAGGTAAATCTTTTTCAGATTTTCTTCTCATTAATTGCTCTTCCTTTTCTTTTTATGATTGGTTAACCCATAACCTGCAGCAAGACAGTAAGTTGACAATCAGCTGTATTTTGGAATTTATGTGAATGAATCTGTGGTGGTTGGGAAATCAAACAATGAATTGGTAGCTGTAGTAGGTATGAGGAGAAGGTTTCACTTATGAATGAGGCAGCATTCTGATTATTCATGTTATCTGTTTTAACTTGAATAAGGGAAACTGCCTCATTGCATGTAAGACCATATTTATTTGCTGGTAGCTGCTATTAGTTTAGACAGGACTCCTTTAGTTTCTTCTTCCATTGTCAGTTCATAGGTCTTGTACCCCTTTATGCTGCTCTGATTTTTGTCTCTTTCTGTGCATTAAATGTGAAGATTGCTGTCTATGTTGGGATTTAATTCCTTAATTTTCCACAGCCTTAACTCAAGTGAATTTATCTTCAAATTTTGAATTTTTTAAGGATGCTTTCTCTATATTGCAGTGAGTCAGAGATTGATGTATTTGAATCAGTTGACAAGCAAAGGCGGGAAGAAGAGATGGTATGCTTGATAGCAGTTTCTCCACGCAAGCTGCTCGTTTGATTGGCCTTTTGTTTCAAAAATTTAACTGGTGTTGTGGTCTTACTGTTCTTCTAATGCTACAGGCAACATGGAAGAAATTGGTAACTGCACAAGGGATTGATGGTTCAAAGCCCCTTCCTCCCATGCCTTCTCGCCTTGTTACAGATGATGACTTGAAAAAGTTTTGTGAAGAAATGAAGTTATTTGATGTACCAAAGGCTGTAGTAGCATCTAATGTTGGGGTAAAGCGGAAGGGTGAACATCTTGGGGGTCTTGATACTAAGCAATATGGAAGGGGCAAGCGAGCAAGAGAAGTCAGTTGATTTTGACTTTTGTAGCTTGTCTAACGTATTATTATCTTTTCATTTATATTCATTTCTATTTTTCCCTATCAGGTGCGCTCCTACGAGGAACAATGGACAGAGGAGGAATTTGAAAAGATGTGCCAGGTTGAGACTCCTGAATCCCCCAAATTGAAGGAGGAAGTAATTGGGAGGAACTTGCCAAAAGATGCATCAATGGGACTTGCTGGTAGCTCAGAACCCATTGTCTCACCTGTTTTGCCCCAACCACCACAAATGGTGGGGGTTTTACAGGACACGCAGCAGCATATTAAAGATGCAACACCTTCTAAACGCGGCCGTGGAAGGCCAAGAAGAGTAACTATAGAGAAATCCCCAATTGCCGCATTGCCTTCAGAACCTTCTGGTATTGGCAAAGTGGATACTGGGTTACAGAGAGGGGTAGATTCTAGCTCTTTAGTGGCCTCTGCTCCTAATTCTTGTCCTTCTTCTACTCCTATAATAGCAACTCCACAAAATAGCACTGGAATAGCTCCTGACTTGCAGCCAAGCACGCCTTCCCTTTCTGCCACCGCTGGTTCTCAAACTACACCTGCTGGCCCTTCTGCACCTGTGCAATCAAGAGGTCAGGGTAGAAAGGTTCAGAGTGGAGGACAAGCACCTCGTAGGAGGGGAAAGAAACAAGAACCAGTGTCACATGCTGCAGCTGATAGTCCAGCAGGCCTTGCTCCAAAAGTAAATGAGCAACCACAGATTGAATCAGTTAGTCCTTTGGACAGTGAAGTGATTAACATGAGTGGAACTGCTACAGCTGTTCCTTTAGCCAGTGTTGCTATTGTAGAGTGCAGCAGTGGATCTAATGATGCTAGCATTACTTTGGATTCTCAGTCTGCCCCTCCTTCTGCTGATGCTCCAATTCCTCAGTCCTCTCCACCTGTCCAAGTTAGAGGTCAAGGCAGAAAGGGTCCAACAGGCACAGGAACACCGCGGCGTAGGGTAAAGAAACAGGCACAAGGATCACCTGCTATTCCAGATGTTTTAGCTGGTCTAGATTCAAAATTGAATCCACAATCACTTGAGAAGTCTGTTGATCCTTTGGCTAGTAAATCCATTGCTTTGAAGAATAATGAAGAAGATGCTCAAGAACAGCCAAAAGTTATGCAGGAACAAATGCAGAGAACAAATGCACCTGCAGCTGTAGTTGGTGAGGATCAAAAATCAGCTGAACATATTGATATGGTTGGCCAACACAAGCAGCCTGAAAGTTCATCACAGGTGCAGGAAGATGCCATGTATTTTGGTAAGAAACAGTTCACTTTCTAGTCTGGATGAAAGTTTAATGCATGTATCATGAAACTGACTTTTGAACTCTTTTTGCAGATCCTCCCATGGGACAAAGTCAAAATGCTGATTTGCATGGAAACACTTCTGTGACAAAGGAGGTTTCGTCTGTAGGCAGTGCTCCCAAGGGTAAATCTGAGGAGTCCAGCAGTAATGAAGGTGGGGCTGCCCAGGCTGCACCTGTATTAAGTAATACATTAGTTGAGGTGGTTAAGAACAAAAGTGCAGACAACAAAGTGCATGCAGCCATGTCAATGGTAAGTACAGCTTCAGTTTCTAGTTCTCCAAGTGGTTGCTTGTCTGCTGCAAATCCTCTAGAAGGTGCCAATAAACCCATGAATTACCTTCCTGCCAACATTACCTCTAGTTCTCAGGCATTTCCAACTCATTCTTCTGTTGCATCAGTACCTCAGTCTGCATCTCCTAGCGCTCCTGATTCTACCCCAGGTAAAAGGCAAGGTCGAAAGACCCCAAATAGAGTTGAAGCACCTAGGCGCAGGGGAAGAAAACCTGTTGTTCCTGATGCTTCATCTGTCCAGAATCCGAAACATAATCCACTGGTGAATAAAGCTGCTGCTGTCAGAAGCAAGGAAGAGACTGCCACTCATGAGGTGTCAAATGTTACCCAGGTACCTGCTCCAGAAGTTCATTTCCCTGGTGGTTTAGTTAGCCAAGATCAAAAGAGGAAAGACACCCCAGCAATCCCAGCATTTAATCGAATTCAGACAGCTGATGTAAATGATGTTGCTCGTGTGATGAAGGAAATTTTCTCTGATACCTGCTTACCAAAAGCTAAAGTTGGTGAATCTTCTGTTAATGAAAGTAGGAGTCCTCCTGCTGTCCCTGTATCAAGTATGGAGGTCGCCAAGAAGGAAGGTTCAGTTAATGAAGGGTGTTTGAACTTGCCAGCTCAAGAAAAAGCAGCTCCATCTTCTGATGTTCCTATTGAAAATCATGAGCAGTCAGGGGCAGAAGATGATGTAAAAAGAGATGAGAGTGGTCCAGTTAAGGAACCAGTTTCTGCATGTTTGAGCACACAGGCTGTGGAAAAAGATGCTTCATCCTATGATGTTCAGATGGATAAACATGAAGTGCAGCCTGGGACAGAGGTTAATGCAAAAGAAATTACAGCACAAGGAGAGGCAGTTGATAGTGCTCATAGTGACCATGTTGAGGTTTGTGATGTAGAAGTTAAAGCCACAGAAGTACAAGCATCTTTGCCAGCTATGCCAACTTCAGAACTTGAAGTTTCCAATCTTTCAAATGATGACCACATCAAACCATCTGGGGTTGTGGCTGATGGGAAACTTCATGTTGTGGATATGACCCCCACTTTGGAAACCATTGCTTTGGGACTGGAATGCAAGGCTACTGTTGAAGAGGGTAACATGGAGCTTGATTGTGGGGTGCCTTCATGTGCTGGCATACAGAAATTAGAGGGTCCTGATGGAGTTGGAAATAATAAAGATGATGTTCATGTTGGTAATGCAGTAGAGAGTGCTGTGACAGACTCTGTCAAGGTTGTCAATGCTGACAACCTTGTCCAAGCGCAAGCATCTTTGCCGAAATCTTCAGAGTTTGTTCACAATGAGCATGATGGACAAGATCTGTCAGTTGAAGTTGAGAGATCTGAAGGAGACCATATTGATGTCTGCAATGTAAAAAACCCCAAAGAAGCAGAACCCATAGAAGTGGGCACTCTTAAATCTGTCAACACAGAGCTCACTCAGTGTGATAAAAGTAGAACTGAGCTCAAAACAGAAGATACTTGGCCAAAATCTGGTGACTCTGAGAATACAGAGCTTGTTAGCAACAAGCATGTTGGGCAGCATCTGTCACCAGAAGTTGAAAGTTCTGGGGGTGCCTCTGTTGAAATCTGTAATGCTAACATTGCCTTGGAGTCAAAACCTTTGGAACTGATCACTGCCAAATCTGCCAATACAGAAAGAGGTACCAGGCTCCAGTTGGAAGATGCTTTGCTGAAATCTTTTGACCCAGATAATGCGGAGCCTGTTAGCAATGAGCACGCTGGGCAACCACAGCTGACAGTAGAAGTTGCTGAAAACTCCTCAGAAGCAGAACCTAGAGAAGTGATCCCTGTTGAATCTGCAAATATGGAGCTTACTCAGAATGACCAAGGGAGAACTGAGCTCCAGTCAGAAGATCATTTGCTGAAATCTGGTGACTCTGATAACATGGATTTTGCTTGCAATGAGCATGTTGGGCAACATCTGTCACTTGAGATTGAGTTTTCCAAGGGTGATTCAGTACAGCCCTGCAATGTAGAAAAACCCTCAGAAGGTGAACCTATCATCAACATCGAATCTGGCAATATACCAAATGCCCAGGGAAGAACCGAACTCCAGTCTGAGGATCCTGTGTTGAAATCTGGTGACTCCAATGATAAAGAGCTTGTTGACAAGCACGGTGGGCAACATCTCTTGCCAGGAGTTGAGAGATCCAAGGATGATTCAGCCCAAGCCTGCAATGTAGAAGAACCATCAGAAGCAGAACCTATGGAAGTCATTTCTGTTGAATCTGGAAATACCCCAAATGACCAAGGTAGAACCGAGCTGCAGTTAGAAGATCCTTTGCTGAAATCTGGTGACTCCAATAGTAGAGAGTTTGTTGATAACAAAAATGGTGGCCAACATCTCTCACCAGAAGTTGAGAGATCTGAGGGTGATTTGGTTCAGGCATGCTATGTAGAAAAACCCTTAGAAGCAGAACCTATGGAGGTCTTGACTGTTGAATCTGCCAGCACACTGAATAATGGTCAAACGAAGCTCCAGTCAGAAGATCCTTTGCTAAAATCTGGTGACTCCAATAGTACAGAGCTTGTTGATAACAAACATAGTGGCCAACATCTCTCACCAGAAATTGAGAGATCTGAGGGTGATTCATTTCAGGCATGCAATGTAGATAATCCCTCCGAAGCAGAACCTATGGAAGTGTTGAGTGTTGAATCTGCCAGCACACTGAATAATGGTCAAACGAAGCTCCAGTCAGAAGATACTTTGCTAAAATCTGGTGACTCCAATAGTACAGAGCTTGTTGATAACAAACATAGTGGCCAACATCTCTCACCAGAAATTGAGAGATCTGAGGGTGATTCGTTTCAGGCATGCAATGTAGATAATCCCTCCGAAGCAGAACCTATGGAAGTCTTTAGTGTTGAATCTGCTAATGGATTGAATGATGAAGGTCAAACGAAGCTCCAGTCAGAACATCCTTTGCCAAAACCTGGTGACTCCAATGATGCAGAGCTTGTTGACAATGAGCATGATGGGCAACATCTCTCACCAGAAGTTGAGACGTCCAAGGATCATTCAGTTCGAGACAGCAATATAGAAAATCCCCTCGAAGCTGAACCCACAGAAGTCACCATTGTTGAGCCTACCAATACAGAGAATGATGAAGGTGGAACCGAGCTCCAGCATGAAGATCCTAGTGGAAGTCCAAAGCAGCCGGTAGATGAAAGCGATGAGGTAAGCGATATGGAAATAGAACCTGTAGAAGCGAAAGTCTCTTCCCCAACTGAGAATCCCTAATAATATATCATCCTTATTATTAATTTAACTGCATCTATAGAATGTAAATAGTTAGCCAATCATGGTTGCATAGTTGCATAGTTGCATCGTAAATCCCTTCAACTGTTAAGATATAAGGGTAGAGCCTTAGCTGGTATCATCAGAAGTTGATGTTTCCTGGTTCTGAATGATTTCAGAGAAACCTGTGACATCATTATTTTAAGATGAAAGGCAAGGCTTCTTTGAACTTACTTTCTTATGGTTGCATTACATTCTGTAGAAAATGTATAGCTTAGCACCATTTATTCCCTTGAAAAAAAAGAAGAAGAAGTGAAATTATACTAACTAAAATGTAAAAATTGTAATTGGCCGTGACATTTTACCACAAGAAAAGAAAAGAAAATCGTTTTTTTTTTAATATTTTAGTTATATAATAAAAAATAATTTTTCTTATTTCTCGTTTTATTCACCGGCTATGTGATTTGAATTTTAAATCTTTTATTTTCAACTGAGAAATATTATTAGTAAGTTTTTTGAGTCTAACTTTTGAAGGCAAGTGAAAAGAAAATCATTATAACTCCATTGAACGCATCAATTCGGTATGATAGCTACTGTTAAAATGAAAAACTTCGTTAAGAGACAGATTAATTTTCTGTAAAAAGAAAAGGAAGTATTTTATGGCAATGGAAATTGGAAGTACAAATACACATGTTAAACCTTCTTTTTTATCCCTCAACTATTGTGTAGACCTTCAATTTGATCCTTAAATTGAAAAAATCTTTAATTTGATTTTTACTGTTTGTCATTTTGATCTCAACTTAGTCCTTTTGTTAAAAGTCATGTGACATGTCTTGTTAATTCACAGCAACAAGATGATATGTCAAGGTATTAAATACATGTGGAAATATAATATGGTTGACATGGATAAAAATAATGATATGAAAAAAAATATTAATATAACAAAAAAGAAACTTTTTTTTTTCCTTTTCTTTCCCTTTCTTTTTCCCTAGGGTCCTAGGCTCTTTCGAACCCAACAAACGTTGGGTTTCCATGTAACCTAGCGGCCATTGCTTTTGAACACGTGGGTTCCAACTGTTGGGTTCAAACCCAACACACTTAGATTCTAGTGATTGGAACCCAGCAATCGTTGGGATCGAACTTGTGAGTTTCAACTATTGGAACCTAGGCGTACTGAGTTCACAAACATGTGGGTTCTAGCGACCGTTGGATTCAAACCCAACAAATTTTTTGTTTTGTGCAAAAAATAAAAAAAAAAAATTATTTTTTGTGGGTTTTGTTATTTAATTATGATGAAGAATAATTGGTTAATGAAGAATGGTGATGAAAGTGGACTTGGAAGAGGCAAAGAGAGAAAAAGGAGAAGGAATGAAGAAGATTTGAGAAAGAGAAGGTTGGAGGAAAATGATGAGGGTAAAATTGTAATTTTGGTAGGTTCCACTTTTTTTTTTTTTTTTGGTGTTGAACAAGAATATAACATGTCATATTGCTATGTCATCATTTTTTCCATTTGTACGTATGACATGTTTCAAAATTTTGACATGTCATTAAGTGCGGTGAATTAACGCTGAATTTTTAATTGAAGGACTAAGTTAGGGCAAAAATGGTAAATAGTAAGGATCAAATTAGAAATTTTTTCTATTCAAGAACAAAATTAGGGATCCATACAATAGTTGATGGACCAAAAAAGGAGTTTAACCATACACATTTTAAGAGCACATATTAATACCAATTATACCAAATTACCAAATTAACATACCACCGTGCAGAAACTAATATAACCCGGAAATGATAAGCTTATTTCTTGTAAAATTATAAATTTATAATTATGATTTAAAGTTAGAATATATATATATATATATATATATAAGTTTTACATATTATATTTATATAAATTTTTAATTATTTATCTCTTTACTTTCAATAAATATGAAAAAAAAAAAGTAAGTAAATCTCTACATTAACAATAAAGAAATGAATGGTCAAGATTTAATAAATTATAAACTTATAATTATGATTTAATATTAAATAAATAAATACATATAATAACACATTATAATTATATTAATAACCTTTTTAAATACAACCAATCCTC